TTTTGATTTTCTTGCTTTAAAAAAGTTTGTCCTATTTAGTTATCTGTTCTGATAACTGATGCCTTATTTTTGAATTTAAAGGATTTGCAGTGTAGCTCACTAAGAAAAATATCAAGCAACACCCACTCCGAAGCTCCATTTGACTCAGGGGTCTTGTCACTTCTGGAGAACACAATTCTCCTTTCTGCTCCAGGGCACCGCAAAGGGCTTCCGTCCCTAGGTGGTGGGGAGCCTCTGTGCTGATCGCGGCGTGCTGTAGCTGAGGCCTAGTTCTGGCACACAAAAATTAAAGATACAGTAAGGCACATAACTTCAAAAAATAGTAGGAACTGCTGTCCTGGGAGAGTTTGAGTAGGCCAAAAGCTGGCAATTGTCACCCATTCTGAAAACTACTGTGTGACCAGGAAATAGGAAAGGGAAGAGAGAACACAGTAGGCCTCTCCAGCATGAAAACAGGACAATGGAAAATTACTATGACAAACTCTGTAAAATCATGAGTGGCATCAAAAAAGTGCGAAAAGAACAAACTTTTGCTGTTAGAACGAGAATGAGACGGCACTAATTACACTTCCATGAAACAAGCTTACAGCGGCCTTTCAAACAAGGCCTATCTGCCTTGTGGAACTCTGCCAAAGCCTCGGTGCAGGCCAAAGTATAAGCAAGTTTGACGTTCAAAAATGACTAAAGAAATCTGTTGGAAAAGTTGCCAAGCTTTATCAAATACAATAATGCAGGCGTTCAAGAGATGCCTCTGAGCTGCTCAAACACCAGGAGACAATATCATGCCCCACTTGTCCTTTTTCACCTTCTTGCCCTCCTACTGGCAGGTGTTATAAACACAAAGACACTGAAGTAGGGGAATTTTGGGCTGAACAACATAGAGTTGTTTCTACGATCCTAGGTACTTGTATAATTCATAAAGTCTTTGGATAAAGAATTTGACATATCTGTAAGATGTATAATAAACATTTTCCATCTCATGACATCTGCAGTAGTACAAGCCAGAGAGCTTTCCTACAGTAATTCAGGTTAAAATTTAATTAACTAGTCAGAACATGAACGCCTAACGGCTAATCATAATGAACTGATAATGTTAAGTATAAGCTTGACTACAGAACAGATATGTGCAATAATTTCAGCACTGTCACAATTTAGATTATGGATAATTCAAGTATATATGGTTAGGAGAGTGTGTTTTCATTAACTATTGTGTGTATGTTGGACTGAGTTAAATTTACTATGAGATTAATTAAAATGTCTCCAAAATTTGTGTTGTGTTCCATCGATTCTCATGGGTTTAAAAAAATCAGAACCAGCATATGATCCAGTAACTTTCAAATGTTTTAATACGTTGGTAACAAGATAGCTTCAAATCAGCACCACTGAAGTCAGTGGAAATTCTATTAGTGATTTCACTGAGAGTTAGAGTGGCCTGTCATCAAAACAAAACAGAACAAAAAAAACCCTCATGTTTCTCAGAATGTTATGGTATATCCACTTAAACAGCTATGCCAATGCAAAGAGCAGTAAAGGAAATACACCTTTTATGTCCTCATTTTCATGTTCACATTTTAATTTCCTAACAACAGTTAGCTGTTTTAGGTTTATTGAAAGACGGAATATGAGTCTCAAGAACAGGTCTCGAAATTCAAAAAGCAGAAAAGTTTTAAGAAATAATAATAAAATTCAAATTCTCTTTGACACTCTTGTTATTTACATTCTGGTTTTACACTTGGGAAGAATAAATCTAACCCAATCTTTAATAGTCTTCATTCTACTACATTATAGGCTACAACCACTGACAAATACTTGTAATTGTATTTATAGTTTTTCATAAAATTGGTTTGTAGAACCCTCACTTCACTGCAACATATCTTTTTCTGAAACAGGTACACTCACTGAATTATTTTGACTTACTAGTAACACTATGAAAAAAAAAGAATAAAAAACTTAAAGACAAGTTAAAGGCAACTCAGACAAATCGGCTGAGACACTCAATTTATTTTTACTTGATATGGATTAGTGAAAAAAGTACTATATGATAGCACAATTCATAAAATCCACTCATTCTGCTACATATTGCATTTAACAAATAAAGCTAGTGAGTAATAATCCTTCTTGTACCATCATAAATAAACCTAAACAATCATTTCCCTCCACCCATCCTCTGATATAGAGATTTCTGTAAAGGCAGCACAAAATAATCAATTATCACTTCTCTGTTTTAAGCCAAGAGACATGCTTCAACTTTACAACAAAAACAGAGTTAAGGAAAAGTGGTCTGATCCAACCCATCCACAGGAGTTCAGAGGGATATCCTCAGAAATAATACTGTTCACCCAAATGCCATTACTTAGTATGTAAAACATTAATCCATTTATTTGAAAATGGATGCTACATAACGCTTCCCCTCCATTGTTGGGTTGTATTTTCATCTCACTTTGAATAAAAATGCAACAGATTTTATATACTGTTGTGGAGCATATCTTGTAACTAAGTAAATGAAGTTGTGTGAAAGCCTTCGTGAAAGCCGTATATGCTTTAGCTACATGGTGATCCCATTGGTTTTAACAAATTTCCTCCTGCAATTAATTTACACACATCATTTCTGAAGAGGACTTTATTATTTCTATTACCTAAACCAACTCTTGGTCCAAATATGGCTAACAAAGTGACCATGAAAAAGTGAACATTCGGTGCATCGCTTAAAAATGACTCTGGTGCTCAAAAAAAAAAAAAAAGAAAAAAGAAATAGGGAGCAATATTTTTCTAAGAAAAAAAGCCTGTTTGTTATGCACGCTTCAGCTGATTGGCTCGGCTTTCTCTTCTTTTTCCCTCTTCATTAAATACCATTCCTCTGACTGCGACTGGCACAAGGCTGGGAGTGTTTTGGTGAAGCTTCCAGAAGTTTCTCCACTAGGGAAACTTTCTAAAACCTGCACCTACTCCAAGCAGATGAAAGCAGTTTATGAACAACCTCCACAAGCCACGGAAGCACTTGGGTGCTGTGCAGAGACGAGGCCCAGAGAGATCCCCCTTGCAGGAGGGCTTCGGGAGGCCCGCGGGAAGCCGGCAGCTCCAGGCCACTTCTCTGCGCACGCGAGGAGATGCTGCGTGCCTATGGCTGCTTGCATGTGACACCACATCCTGAAAGCAGCTGTTGTCCACGGAAGGACAACTCCACTCACGTCAAAGCCTTTTCAACTGACCCCAACAAGACCACAAAAGGGCCGTTTTTTAACGAGGAAAAGCGCAGCGGCCCCACACGGGCCCGGCACCACCACTCGGCTCCAGCGCGGACCGCGAGCAGCAATTCCACCCCATCGCCTCGCGAAGCGGGAAAGCTCCGCTCGGGGACGCTTCCCCTTTGTCCACAGGGACAGTCCCCGAACAAGAACGCTGCTAACGCCGGCCCATCAAGACCGAGCAGCCCCGCGACCCCGGCGCAGGTGCCCGCAGCGCCGCGGGGCGAGGGCGCGGGGTGGGGCCTTTCCCCGCCCCTTCCCGGGGCTACTTAGGGAGGAGAGCGGCCGCCGACAGGGCTGCCTTTTCCTTCCCCCTAAAGCAAGAAAAGAAAAAAATAAAAAAAAGGAAAAAAAAAAAAGAGGAAAAGGGAGACTGGACGGTGTTTGTTTTCTCAGGAGTTTTCGTGTTTTCTTTCTTTTTTTAAAAAAAAAGATTTTTTTTAAGTGTGCGGGCGCTGCCTCAGCTTTGGTGAATGATGGTGAGTGTGGGGAGTCATGGCCGCGGCTGGGGAAGAGGCCTCTTTGGGGCGAGGGCCGCGCTACGGCTGTGGAGAGGCTCGAGGGAGGAGGAGGATGGAGG